TCAATCAGTCAATCAATCAATCAATCAATCAATCGTTGGTATGTCCATCAAGATCATCATGATAGTGCTGTATTTATCAATCAATCAAGATGATAGTGCTATGCCCAGCACGACGACAATACTCTGTTCATCATCGAGTCATTCAATCAATCATGTGTATCTGTTAACGAATCAAACCATCAACGAAGCAGCCAATTACTGAATCGATCAATCGAAAAATTGGTCAAGATGATATTGCTACGTTCATCAAGATGATCCTAACATTTTATGACGCCGAAGACAAGCACATCATCGTGGACAAGCACATCATCGTGGACAAGCACATCATCGTCCTTGCTCTCACGACAATCACGCCTATATCCACGCGCTCTGATATAGTGACCAGTATTGATTGATTGTTTGATTGATTGATTGATTGATTGATTAAAAATAACTAGATGCATGATTGCGGATTTGTTGGGCCCTATCAGCTTCACTCTCCCTTTCCCTCTTGGCCACTCTCCCTCCCATCTTCCCGCGTCTCTCCCGCGCTAATTTCCGCGCGCGAATTCCCTCTCGTATTCCCAGGCAAATTCTCTTCCTTGGCGGTTCCTCCATATTTCTTTTTCCCCTTTCCTCTATGCATCTCTCTCTCTCTCTCTCTCTCTCTCTCTCTCTCTCTCTTGCTCTCTCTCTCTCTCTCTCTCTCTCTCTCTCTCTCTCTCTCTCTCTCTCTCTTGCTCTTGCTCTCTCTCTCTCTCTCTTTCTCTTTGACTGGAATGTGTTCGCTGTGAGGAAAGGGGCGGGGGGGTAAAAAGCGCGGGAATTAAAAATAAGCGGGGGGATGTTGACTTGTAGATGCATGCGTAGTGTCAGGAAATACAATCAGAAGAGAAGAGAATCAGCTTTAAAAAATCGAATAAAAAAGAAAAAGATCTTGTTTGTAATGAAATCCCCAATTTTGATCATTTTATTTTGTATCTAAAGGAAATCTTTGATCATTTCATCATATAGAAAGGAAATCTAACCTTGTCGTCGTTTTACGTAGTCGGTGGAATCGTTTTTTTTCCTGTGAAAAAAAAATATATATAATCCTGTCGATAACAATGTCGAATCCGTAATTCTGGGCCCGAAAAAAGAGTCTCTAATCATATCTTCAATTTGATCGCTTGCCTTCGGGACATCCATTAAAATTGGAACGATACAGAGAAGATTAGCATGGCCCCTGCGCATTAAAAAAAAAGAAAAAAAAGAGAAAGAATTCCTTGCAAAATACTGTCCAAAAGGCGTAGTTAAAAAAAAGAGAAGGGAAAAAAAAAAGAAGTCCTTGCAAAATAGAGAATGGAAAAAAAGTCCTTGCAAATAAAGAATGTAAAAAAAAAAAAAGAATCCAAGGAGTGAATATGTTTTGACTATATTATCTATTTTACCGGGCAGTTCTGTTTGTGACGATATATATATATGTATGCAGAATTAAAAAAAGAAGAAAAATATGAGACTAGGAAAAAAAGAAGATAAGAAAAGAACACATGCTAGATCAGGGGGGAAAAAAGAATAATCAGGAAAAAAAAAAGAAACTTTTGAAAGTAAAATCCACCCCCCCCCAAAAAAAAGACAGGAAGAAAAAGTCCTTGCGAAATAGAGAATGGAAAAAAAAAACGTCCTTGCAAGTAAAGAATGTGAAAAAAAAAAAATCCAAGGACCGAATATATTATACATATCTCTGTTTGGCGATATATTCCGCCTTTGCGCTCCGATTCACACGCTCCGATTCACAGTGTGATAATATATAGATTGGCAGAATTATAAAAAAAAAGAAAAAGATAAGATCAGGAAAAAAAAAAGATAAGAAAAGAACTCATGCAAGATCAGGGGGGAAAAAAAAAAAAAATCAGGAAAAAAACGAAAAAAAAGGGAAAATAAAGAAAAAAGGAAAATCCACCCAGGAGTACGTTATCCAGCATCGTCCTTTCTTCACACTTTTTTTATTTTTTTTTGGTTCACATTTTTTAATGCAACGAGTACTTTTTTTTCTCTTTTTTTTTTTTTTTTTTTTTGCATCTAACAATTGAGTCTTTTTTTTTTTGCATCTAACAATTGAGAGTCATCCCCAGCAAGAAGGCCTCCCCTCCCCACTCGCATCGTCTTCTGGTTCCCTGCCCCTTTCCCCGATTACAACGCACCCCTGCCTCTTTTCCCGATTACAACGCCCCCCTGCCTCTTTTCCTTTGGCACCCATCCCTCGCTCCCTACCCTCTTTTCCCGAATACGACGCACCCCATCAAGACTGTATTTGACGGGAAAGATGGCCTGTATCCATGCATAGTCAGGGTGCGTCATGTTCGGTGCAAGACGGTAGCCATCGCCTTTATGTCTGCTGCTAATCATCGACTCTTCCTAAGCTTTCTCTAATCATCGAATCTTTTTTTTCCACGCTCTCGCCACATGGTCGCCACGTCATCTTTAGCAGATGGTTCAAAATAAAAATAAAAATAATGATAAAAGGGCCTTTATCAGATGGTTTAAAATAAAATAAATGATAAAGAGGCCTATTCTCGTCACGTCATCGCCACCCATGTTACCTGAGTGGCCGGGGACCGCTTGCCCGGCGGGCCAAAAACGAATCAAAACAATGAAAAAAATAAACTATATTTCAGTTTTATTAATGATATTTTCAATTCGGCGAAGAATTTTTTTCCGACCACGAGGCAGAAGTTTTTTCAGTTCTTTTTTTTTTTAACATCAATTTTTTTTCCCCGAATTTGTTGGCCTTTTTTTTTTTCAGGGACCTTCCCTGGCCCTTGCCCGGCCGGGCCGCCCGTGCAACCGAGGTGACCTGTGCGGCCCGGTTGGTAACACAGTCATTGCCACGTGATCACTTAAGTCATCGCCACGTGCTCGCTACGTCACAGTCATGGCCACGTCATCGCCACGTCATCCGGTTCTCGCTCTATCCACCCCCGTCTGGCGTAGCGATGGCATGTCTGATGTTTCCCGCCAATCACGCTTTCCGTGTTAGTTTCCCCTCTCTCTCTCTCTCTCTCTCTCTCTCTCTCTTTTTGATTCTGGTGTTTGCGTCAATTCAGGCATTCGCCTCCCGTCCACCTGCTCCCCCTATATGTCAAATCTTCCTCCCCCTTTCTTTCACGCCGTCCTCAGGTCGCGTTAACCCGTCTTGGGTATAGTTCAGCTCGTGTTATCCCGTCTTGGGTATAGTTCACGTCGTGTTGCCGCGGCTTGGAATGCGCACTGGGCGTGCGCGCGGGCGCGGGCGTGGGCGTGGGCGTGCGCGTGGGCGGTGAAGTTTCTTCGCGGAGGAGGAGGTTGGACGAGGAGGAGGGGGAAGGAGGAGGGAATGAGCAGTGGAGAAATAGGGGAGGAAGAGCAGCGGGGAAGGAAGAGGAGGAGGGAAGCTTCAGAAGCGGCCAGCATGTCTTTTGTGCACAAGTTCGTTGTTGATTGGATCACTGATTCGACGTCGCACATGGGTCTGGTACGCTGCATAGGAAGATGGGAACTACGTCGTGCGCTTGAGTGCTTCCTTTGCCACAACGTACTTGTGTGTGTGCTTCATTTGCCGTTTATCTATTTGTAGTGTAGTGTGATTAGGCCCGTGTGGCATCGGTCTAAGGATGATGACGATGATGGCCAGGCATCCGTCTACCACGTGGTGTTTCATGTTTTCGCGGGCCAGATGATCGCCACGTGTGCTTCTTGACGTTTTGGTGCCAAGTGGCTGCTGGGTGATTGGGCACGTGCGGCACGGTCTGAGGATGGCGATGATGAATCGATGATGAATAAGTCCCGTCCAGGTCGCGTCTACCACGCGTGGTCTTTTATGTTTTGTCACCAGTTGACAGCCACGTGTTTCTTGATGTTTTGGCGCCAAATGACAGCCGCGTGAATCTTGATGTTTTCGCGCCAAATGGCTGTTGACCAGTCCGAGGATGATGATGATGAATCGACGATGATTAGTCTCTGCCAGCAGAGCCCGTCTACCACGTGGTCTCGTATTTTTTGGCGCCAAATGAACGCCACGCGTTTCTTGATGTTTGGCGCCAGATGACCGCCGCGTATTTATGGCTGTTGCGTGATTGGGCGCGTGCAGCGTCGGTCTAAGTATGATGATGATAATGAATCGGTATTATCGGCCTCGCTCCACTACTCACGACATGCACAAACGACAAAAAAATATGGCGGTGCATCTTCCCATGTTCTAGCGAAAGATTCAGTCCCATTTTGCAGATATGGAGAGTAGTGGAGCTAGGCCCTATGGGATCCGTTTCGGCCAGCCCGTATATCACGTGGTCTTTTTAACTCTTTTATGTTTTGTTTTGGCGCCAAATGACCCGTACGTGGTTTTTCATGTTTTGGCGCCAAATGACCCATACGTGGTTTTTCATGTTGTGGCGCTAAATGGCCGTGTGCCAAATGTTCCCTTGTCGTTTGGCGCCATACGTCCGTGCATCACGAGCGCACAGTTTTTTTTTTTTTTTTTTTTTTGGCGCACAGCTCCATGTTTGTTTGTCCGCGTTTCTTTGTTTTTTGTTAGAAGGAAAAAAGGACGATCATCTTGAAATGTCTTGAACTGACCGGCCGCAGGTCATTCAGAATTCATGGGGATTCGAACGTGGGTCTGTATCTCAACAGTTGATGAGTGTGCCAACTCAACATGGCCTTTTTCGTCCTTTTTTTCCCTTTTTTTCTTTTTTTAAGAAGAGTGGCAGCAACGTGGTCTTTTTCACATCGTTATATGAAAACCATCGGGCTTGGCAGCCTTGTAATCGTCCTCCTTCCCTCTCTCGCTTTCTGTTGCTCCTTTCTGGGTGCCCTTTCTGTCTGTTGCTTTGTCCTTCTAGAGAGAGAGAGAGAGAGAGAGAGAGAGAGAGTTACCTTGTTTTTCACATGTTTGTTTTTGCAGGTGAAGCGGCAACAAGTATTCTAGTATGCGACATAATATTTTCCAATCTACTCTGCTACGTATCAGCTGCTCTTGACTTTCAGAAATTGTGGCCGACAGTGGAGTTGAGCGAAGGTAGACTATGGGGAAAGTAGTTGCCAGTGGGTGTTGTCCTTGAACTAAATGGTTTGCGTGCAACCCATGTTTTTGAGCAGCGTTTTCAAGATGGTGATGATGGCTGGGCACAGTGATCCCTTGGGCAGGCCATTCCCAATGGCTCAACTGCCACAATGTTACGGAGGGCCTGTTGTCGCTGGTGGTCAGCCTCCCGTTCCCGAAGGGAACTCAAACAAGCTTGTATATAAACTAGTGAAGGTGAGTCAATCTGCTCACTTTTCTATTTTCAGCCTTATTCCCTGCTGCTGTTCCNGAGAGAGAGAGAGAGAGAGAGAGAGAGAGAGAGAGAGAGAGAGAGAGAGAGAGAGAGGCGCGCGCGTTGCAGTTTATAGTGCTTATCCTTGGACCTGTTCAGTGATTGAATCTGTGGGTTGTTTGTGTTCGTTATCCTCTGTACTATTGCGCAGGTGAATGAGGATGGAACAATGTGTCCAGCGACGGAAGAGGAGGTTTTCCAGTTGGAGGCAATGGTAGGAATGCTAGATGAGACAAGCTCATCAAGTGATGTCCCTGAAGATGGGGACGTCGATAGTGACAACAGTGATGATGATGACGAGGATGACGATGATGATGACGACGAGGATGAGGATGAAGATGAGGATGAAGAGGACGAGGAGGAGGAGGAGGATGAGGATGATGATGATGATGATGACGGCGACGATGATGATGATGATGATGATGATGAGGAGGAGGAGGAGGAGGAGGAGGAGGAAGAGGAGGAGGAGGAGGAAGAGGAGGGGGAGGCTGACAACGGTCAAAGAGACGATGGCAGCATGGACACGATGAAAGAAGACTATGAAGCTGATGGTCGAACACAGTTTTCAGGAGTGTGTGGATTCTCCCAAATGAAGACTTCTCGCAACGATATGCTGCAGCAGGCATTCGAGCGCTTGAGGGGTAAGTAAATGACGAGACAATCCATGGGTTCCATGCGAGTTTCTCTTTGTTTTTTTTTTACCTATCTGCAGGGTTGCATACCTGCCGACCGCCGACCCCGACCGCCGACCGTATTGCAGCCGGCCAGTAGGGCCGACTGGTCGGGGCTCTGCCGACCAGTCAGAAAACAGCCATCAACTGTTTTTTTCCCAAATCTGAGTCGGGGCCTGTACTGCGCTTCCTGAGTACAGACCAAACCCGCTGAGAAACTTCTGGGGATGAGCGGGGTTATTGGGGGGGAGTATAGGGGGGGTATATGGGGATATAGGGATGGTTCTCTTATACACATCTAGATGTGTATAAGAGACAGCATTTGCACCGCTCCCTTCTCATCCCTACCTATCCGAGGCACCCCCTACCTATCCGAGGCACCCTTGTACCTATCGACGCAGTGGACTCCTAAAAGTTCTCTATCTGTTCGATGGTCTTATGTGCGCCGTCTTTTTCTGCAGTTGTTTTTTGCTGACAAGCCCGCTCGTCTCCACCTTCTCGGTTCTCATCGTACCTTCGCATTGTGTTCTGACATCATGAGTGCTGCGGGTATGTGTTCCTCGCATGCTCGCCTAGAAAGTCCTCTCAGGTGTGACAAAATTGCCGTCTGCCGCTTTCTGAGTGCAAATGTGCTGTACATTAGTGCACCTGAGTTGTCCCACAAGCTACACGGTTCCCAACTTGTAGGTGTTCCCACTGGTACAGCAGACAAGGACCAGAATTGGTCATCTGGTACAGCGGACAAGGACCGAGTTGTTCCGCTGCTTCAGTCGACCGGGACCAGAGCTGTTCCACTGGTATGATGGACCAGAATCAGGACCAGAGCTTTTTCCACTGGTACAGTGGACCAGGACCAGAGTCGTTCAACTTGGACCAAGAACAGAGTTGTTCCACTGATACGAGGACCAGAGCTTTTTCCACTGGTGCAGTGGACCAGGACTAGAGTTGTTCCACTGGTGCAGTAGACCAGGACCAGGACCAGAGTTGGTCCACTCGTGCAGTGGAGCAGTACACCGGTGGACCAACTCGGGTCATTGTCCACTGTAGCTGTCGAACAACTCTGGCCCCGGTCGACAGTAGCAGTGGAAGACCTCTGGTCCTGGTCCACTGTACCAGCGGAATGACTCTGGTCCTGGTACACTGAAGTTGTAGAACAGATCTGGCAGTATGTGTTTTCGCACCTGCAGGTAGTCTATTTTGGCCAGAACTCCGGTCCTGTTTGACTGCAGGAGTAGGAAAACTCTGGCAGTATATGTTTTCGCATGTGGGCATTGGGGAGTCTCTATTTTTGTTACTCCTCCATGGATTAGACTGTTGCGGTTGCTGAGTTGATTGGTGTCCAAGTGCCCCAGTTGGCATGATTTGACTCATCGTCTGCGCACCCGATGCGCCTGGCAAATGGGGAAAAGCATCTTTGCTAGTCTTGAGGTTAGTCGCTATTTGACAGGCTTTTTCAACACCTTTGCTGTGCTTTGTGGCATGTTTAGGAACAGTGGATGTTCTCGCTTAAACCACCAGTTCTTGGCCCAGCTATCGGGCGCAGAAACAAATAGAGTAGAAACATTTCTAGTCGGATGAATTTGAGCGCTCTGTAGTGGTCCGTACGTTTCCTAAAGTTGTGGCTTGTTAACGGTCACAACTTTAGGAAGTACTGGTGGTTTAACCACGTGGGGAACAGCGGATGTTCAAGCCTGTCAAACGGTGACCAGCCTCAAGACTAGCAAAGATGCTTTTCCCAGTTTGCCAGGCGCATCGGGCGCTCAGATGACGAGTCAAATCATGCCAATTGGAGCGCTTGCACCCCAATCAACTCAGCAACCACAACAGACTAGTCCGCGGAGGAGTAACAAAAAATAGACTCCGCGGCAATGGCCACATGCAAAAACATATACTGCCAGAGTTTTGCTACTCCTGCATTCGACCAGGACCAGAGTTGTTCCACTGCTACTGCGGACCAGGACCAGAGGTTTGGCCAAAATGGACTCCACAATGTCCAGGTGCAAAAACGCATACTGCCAGAGCTGATCTACAACTCCAGGATCAGAGTTGTTCCTGCTTAAGCACGTTAGAAAAAACGTCGGATGTTCTTGCTGAAGCACGTGAGCTTAAGCACGTCGGCAATTGATCTTATTATCGTATGTTGGAAGTTGTCGTCGACCTATAGCCGATGTTCATTGCTTCCTGTGGAGTGCTGGTGTTTGGCATGGGGTGTTTGACACAGTTTTGTGTATCATGTGCGCTGTTTGTGTGTTGTTAACCTGTATAC